ATTTTTGCTGCTTTCATGATGTTTTCTTACTAAAAATTGTCCAAAACAAACGAAAAACATAGTATGGGCAGCTAAAACTGGTGCGAATCTTAATCGACATATGTCCCCTGCAATATGTATCGCGCCCAGCGAAATTGGTGTGTACCACCTAAAAACCTTCCCTTGTAAGCCCCCTTGTGAGCGCTCTGCACTCCGTCTCACTCAATGACCTCTCCTCTTTATCCAGGGCTGAGCAGCGAGGTGGCGCGCCTGCAGTCGGAGCTCAACTCGGCCCGCCTGCAGGAGTTCGAGGCCCAGGAGGCGGCCGTCACGGCCTCCGCCGAGCTGGACGAGTCGCGTCGCGCCCAGAACGAGCTGGCCGAGCTCCGGGCGCTCAAGGAGAACATGGCGGCCGCGGCGTCGCTCGTGCAGAAGGAGGTGGCCGTGCTGCGCCAGCAGTGCGAGCAGGAGCGGAAGACGGCGCGCCGCATGAAGTCGGAGGCCGACCACGCCGTCAAGGAGCGCAACGTGATGGCGCACCAGAGCTCGCTGCTGGCCGAGGCGCTCTCCCAGGACGACCGCCTGCTGCCCATCCTGGCCGAGGTGGAGAACCTCAAGCGCCTGCTGGAGGAGGAGCGCTGCCGCACGCGCGAGCTGCAGGCCGGGCCGCGCGGCCTGGACGACGGCGAGGAGGCCGACGAGCGCAACGATGTGGTGGAGCTCCTCGACGAGCGCCTCAAGATCGCCGAGGAGGAGCTGAGGAGCGCGGCCAACCGGGCGGACCGCGCCGAGCGCGAGAACAGCGAGCTGCGAGAGCGACGTAAGTACTGTACCTCGTTGTCACGGGTACTCACCCTTACTCAGTGAGAGGCAGCACACTGTCTGCGTGTGGTGTAGTTGTAGCCGGAGACTTACTTACGCCCTCTTGCTGTCCACAGTGTCGCTCTTTGAGAAGGAGCTGGAAGACCGGCGCACAGCCGCGCCGCCACCCCCGCCACCGCCACCCATGGCCCCGCCCATGCCGCCGCCGCCGCCACCACCCCCGTTGCCAACCCTCTCCCCTGGCGGGGGCGGGGGCGGTGTGGGCAGCGTCAAGCTGCGCTCGCGAGTGGCGAGCGGCGGCAGCGGTGGCAGCGGAGGTAGCAGCGCCACGGGCTCCAGCGAGGACCTCGTTAACGCGGAGAGGAACGCCGTGCAGGACATGGCCAACCTGCTGGGCATTCCCCGCAAGCCCCAAATGCCGGAGGCAATACCAGGAGGTGAGGAAGCGATCTGTACCCAGAGTGTCTCCGTGACTACAGGTTTCAGACTCCAGGACTCTCTAGTAGGCAGCAGTATGTCATTTAATGTTTTGCCTTCCACAGGTGCCATCGACAACATTATCAACCAGATAAAAGGTGGACGCTTCACTCTGAAGGCAACAGAGGTACTAGATATGACAGACTACGTCAATATTCTAATGATATAAAACAAGGAGACCATTTTTAAGCAATGCTCTGTATGTTTTTCACAGCAAAATCTACAAAAGGAAAAGAAGGAAGAACCTCCCCCAGCAGTGACCGAAATGCTGAACATTTTAGGAACGCTGAGACGACGTCCTCGTGCCTCTGCCAAACCCACTGAAGTATCTGAGGCGCCAAGAGATGTAGCTTTATAATTTC